TTTTCTAATTAAAAGTTATATTAGTTTGTTTTAAAAATTATAAAAAACTAATGATATTTTTAAATTTCTTAACCATTACTCTTATAACTTAACATTTGTCTTGTTTCAAAATAATTGTTTGAATGACCACTTGTCTTTCATTTAATACCAAAATGAAATTATTGAGCAAAATTGAAAAAGTTACTTTCTCTACTTCGTTATTTGTATATTAAATTAACGCGTACATTTTTAAAAAAATGATTATATAAATGATTATGATGATTTTTTAAAAATACCCTTATTAAAAAAATTAAATATAATTGAAACTTATTAAAATTATATAGCAATAAATAAAAACATTATTAAAAAATAATTATACCTTAATTTTTTAAATAATAAATATTTTGAAATAAATTAAAACAATCAATTTAACAAATATTACGAGACAAAAAGAGAAATATTGATGACACAGCACGCGATGCTGCAAATGAAAACAATAGTATCTAAAGATGGTACCACTCACTGTATCTCTTTCAAATTTGTCTTAGCAGCCCAACACCCTTTCTTTATCCTTACACCCCACATTCCATTCTTCTCTTGAAGTCATTTTCATTGTCCTTTGCTCAACATCAATAGTAATCATAATAAACAAATATATAAATAAATAAAAGAAAACAAAAACTTAAATAACAAATGGCATCTGAAGAATTTTTTTTTTCTTTGTATAGATAAATCAAGAATAAAAAGAAAACTAAAAGCAAGAAAGTAAGAAGTAAAGACTTCACTAATCATCACCAAAGGGTTTGTGATCCAAGTGTTTCATTATTACCTACACTGACTTTGTGGGGGGGGGGGGGGGTGTGTTTGAACTCAATTTTTGAACTATTACTTATTAATTGTCTTAAGATTAAGCTTGGACAAAAAAATTAGAATAAAATTAAACCATTAACATTTTAAATTTAACTTTTTGAAAGTAAAAGGATACACAGAGTATGAAAATAAGGGTATTTTTATCTTTAATTTAAATAAAACTATATCATTAATTTAACCCAACTTAAATCATGGTCGAATGCACTTTTTTTTTTTTTTTTTTACACATTTTAAAAGTAATACTGGTTTCAATGTATAAAAATGCACTTGCATGAATATTATAATTAAAATGTTATTTTTGAGTAAAGTTAGAAATTAAATAATAAAAATATTTGTATGATAAATTATATATAATAAGATTATTATTTATTTATTATTGAGAATAGTAAATTTAATAATAATAATAATAAATTATGTATAATAATATTTTATTGAAAACTACAGAAATTAATACAATTCCATGTAATGAAACTATTAAATGCTATAATTTCTAATAAATATTTACTATATATATATATATTATTAACTTATGCAATTAAAAAATGATTTAAAAATATTTATTATATTTTAATATTTCTAAAAATAAATTTTAAAATTCAAATGTTTAGAAGAAAAATAAGAATACAAATGAACAATTTAGTTAGAAAATAATTTCTCATATCTTAATGGGAATATAACTTTTCCATATATGACTTTTCTAGGATTGAACAATATCTATGAATAATAATTTTTAAAGTTCGATCAAGAATAAATTCATAGCTCAAAATAAATATACTCTAAAAAGTAAAATAAAAATGTATATAGAACTCCTTTTACCATTATTTACATTATTTATGAAATGAAAAACAAACAGTGTTTTTTTCAAACAAACCAAACACATCCTAATAATTTTTTTGCACAATTGTTATATACATAACTGGTAATACAAAACGAAAAGGTATCAGTGGTTGAATATTAAACAGTGTGATTGTGAATCAGAAGATAGGATAGAAAGATAAAACAATAGTTGAAGATGGGAACTTTCCACGAAGTAGGAGAGAACATGGGTGGGGCACTTGAGCAGAACAGAAATTCCTAATAGTTGATCCAAATATCCCTCAGTGAAGGACAATAATAACACCCTGAATTATTTATTCCATTGGGAAATTTGGTGCATCCATTCCACAAATCAACACAATGAAGTACATGGGCAAGTGCAAATGCATTATTAGAGAAAGAGACGAATAGATGTTACAACACAAAAATGAAAAGATACAAGTTTAGCTTAGCAAAAACAATATCATTGTGCCACATATTGAAAAACGCATGTTGTCACAACTGGCAAACTCGCTTCTTTAAATTGATTGAATCTTTTGTTGGTCCAGACAAATCAAACCCTCATGTGTACTTGTGTGAACAAGCGTGAGAGAGAGAGAGAGAGAGAGAGAGAGAGAAAGAAAGAAAACAAATCAAAAAACATGGACAAGAATGAAATGGGCTAAGATATTTCTTCTGAAGAGAAAATTAAAAATATTGCATAGTGGGAATAAGACATTCTTTGGGGCTATGGGAGTTGCCGAGTTGGTGAGGCAGTTATAATATAACTTACAAGAGGGGCTATGAATGTCAGAAGCTTTTCTTGTGGTGGAAACCAAAAGAAATATAAAGAGACATTAATAATACACAGAGAGGACCATCTAACCACAGATACCCTTGTTTTCTCAGCTGGTCCTTCTGCAAAAGGAAAACCAGTTACTTTCTAATATTTTTTTTGGCTGTTATGTTCAGATAAAGTTTGCTTGAAGGGAAAATATAATTTCTCATTTTCATTATTTTAATAATTAAAAAATTTAATTTAAATGCATTGATAATGCAATTTTTTTTACCATCTAGTTATCAATTGTTATAATTAAGAATAATTAATTTATGTAATAATTAATATAAAAATGATATTTATGATATATTCTAATTGGTTGATAATATAAAATGTTTTATATTGACAATGCATCGAATTTAAACTCTAATTAAAAATTCTTATTTATTTATTTATTGAAAAAACTTTAAAGATAAAGAGACAACTAAGTTAGTTGTCCTTTAAAGTAATGCAATAATTATTTTTAATATTTTTTTTCAAGCTTGAGGGTGCTACTAATAGTTAGTTGAGCATGCTGATTATTTAATTTGATGTTAAAATTATTCATGCCTATGAAAAAATGTTATTAAGAGAGATTTCACTTTGATGCCCAATGGTTTTTCTAGAAATGTATCTCTTGAAACAATTTGTTAACGGTTGCTTTTGAGTGTGGAATAAAGTTATTGATATTATATAAAAGAAAATGTGATGCAGTATAATTTTTAAGCCTCTTTTAACTTTGAAACCCATGTCAAAACGGAAAATTATTACTTGATATTTATTAAACATGTGTGGAAAGAGTATAAGAAAGAGAGGGATAAAAATGAAAGGAAAATAAAAATATAACAATTAATGAGAAAAAGAAAAGTATCAGCTAGCTCTTGGCCCTGCCTTTTTTTATCTAATTAAGAAAGGATTGAAATGTACCAAAAAAGAAAAGTGGAAAAGGATTGAAAGGGTAGCACTTCGGGGGCCATTATCTGAGGCCTGGCCAAGGCCCCAAACCGCATTTATGCCCCATCTTCATCATTAACAACCACTTTGTACAAACTGGCTTAAAATGATGGTCCTCCCAATCCAACGCTCTTTCTGGTTTTGTTTATACTCTTAAGACAATTACTTCAATTTTATAATCCTTTTGAACTCAATTAAGGAGCTAGTAATCAATAGAAATGACAATAGGACTCTAATTCAATGAATATCTAAACTAATATTTATACTAACATCAATTTATATGCGTTCACTGAATTTGCGTTTGAATTAGGTAATTACCCCTACAAGTATGTATCTGAGTCTGGATATCTTTTAAGCACGTCTCTTTACATGCATTGAAATTCAATAAACCCACGTTTTCCAAGCATAAATATTCAGTTTTAAACTTATACAGTAAAGTCTCGTGCACCAAAAGTTATATAGGAAAGACCATAGCCAAAATATTCAGTATCATATACTGTGACAAAGGTGGCTATGCATCATTTTTAATTCTAACAACCAGATGGCTTCTAGCGAGAGAGATCAAACGTAAAAGACTACTTTTCCTCTTCATGATTAAGTACGTGTTTGGTAATGTTTTTATAATGAAATCGAAGGAAAAACTTGTTAACTTTAAATAAATTAATGCAAATATATATTGAGTAATTGGGCATGCAAAGTGTGTTATGTAAAAGCATCCGAAGTTATTAGCCGACATTTAACGTATGAATGAATGATTAGAATTAAGTTAATAGTGAGAAACTTATTTAATTCACATAAAGTCGTAGGTTCAAGTTTCTTTATTAGCATTAATTTCTGTTATCCATAAATGGACGACCTTGTATACCTATTCTTACGTAACGTTTGTAATCTTACCATGTGAGGCCATTCCTCCATTTTCTAGTTGGCATTTCTGAAAAGTTAAGCCCAACCGTACCTAGATGTTCCGTACATCTAAGTACTGGTCCGTTATCTTCATTCACTTTAATGAATAATAATAAATAATTTTGCAGACAAGAAAAGCATAATTACATATATTTTTCAGAAAAGAAACATAATTTAATGTTGGATCTAACTGTAAAATAAAATTTCCCTTTTCTTTGAATGTTTCGACTAAGTTCTTACCGTATTGATTTTTAATGCATGTTCTAAAAATAACATCAAAACTGATTTATTAATAATTTTCAACGAGGGAGAAGAGAAGAGATGGGTGGCACAGTGACATGGAAGTAGAAGCAAGAAGATAGAACATAAATTATCTTGCTTTCATTGACATAAAACATCTCTCACAGGGTATAATATAGAACCCTCTGCGAGGAAAACTTCAAACCTTTGTACAATTTTCAACCCATGAAATCTTTCATGGAAACAAAGTTAGAGTCGCATAATCGACATCATAAAAACCCAACAAGGTTGTTCCAACAAACGAACCCACGAAAAAAGAAAAGAAAAGAATGAGATGGAAAAATAGCAGATGATGAAGAATATTAATGAGAAGCAAATTAAAATGGCAATGACGAAGGGAAAAAAGAGAAGCAAATTCTGGTAGCAGCTTCATCTTGGCCATCCTCTTCAATCAGAACCATCATCAACCCTTGTCTTATCTTTCATCTCATCGTTGATGTTAGAGACCTGAAAACAACTTCTTCACAAGGAATAGTGAGACCCATATCGTGATCAAAGCCAAATTCTTCTTCAGCTTGTCTAAGGAGGGATTGGAACTCAGGGTGAGTTAGGAAGGAGATTGGTACAATGTACCTACTTCGGTTTTCACCCACATAAACCGCAAAGTGGCCTTTTGGCACGTCCACAGGGAGGCCATCATCGTCATACCCATGTTGTTGTTTCTTTCCTAAGCTTGAACATCTCTTGAGAATTTGCTTCAAAACTGCATTTTGAGGGAGTTTGTTGGATTTTCTAATGGCCATTTGAGGTTATGGTGTGTGAAAGTGTAACAATGTTGGAAGATGGATGAAGAGAGAGTGAAGAAAAGAAGAAGAAGAAATAGAGGTAGTGGTGGAAGGTTTAGGGGGGTGCTGAGGGGGTATTTATGGAGAGGGTGGGGAGAAAGTGAAAGGGGTCATGTGGAGTGTGGGGGCAAGAGGCAAAGGACAGACCACGGGTGTTTTGGGGTTTGTGTATTTGTGCAAGGACATGGTGGGAGCCAAACCCACTGGCTATACTATTCTATGTTTGTCCTCCCCACAACAACATGGTCCCATTTTTTCTCTAGTACACACCTTCAATTCTCCCCCTACCTCTCTGTCTCCTCTCAACCTTGTTATTCACAATCACCCTATTCATTTCCTTCAAAACTATTATTATTTCGCCTCTTTAGATTAGCCTTACAAAGGTCAGAGTCCCTTCATAACACTTTTCTTTAAAACCTGTCTGTCTGCTTTTCTTTTGACTGAAATTTTGGATAACCTACTATTCTTTCATTTTTAATTTTGTTTTAGTACTCTCTTACGTATACTTCTTTTCGAAGCACTAGTTTATTTCCTCTATATTTTGGTACACCTTTTAAGTTCTCCTTCATAAGAACCAAATCACCCGTCTCAATTAAAATCTAGCATGCGAGAAAAAAAATGCGTTACTTTTTAACCCGTGTATCACTTTTTAAGGATATGAAAACAGGCAATTTAAAAAACGTGTGCCTTATAGACTCCTGCAAATTATTTTAAGGTGCATAAATAATTATGAGGCTATTTATTTTAATTTGAACATATCCCTCACAAATTGTATAAACCAGGCTTTTAGTTTTTTATTTTGGTGCAGCTAACACCATTAACACACACAAACAAAACTTGTTATTTTGAGGAAGTGACAATGATTTGGAAGTAAGAAATTTTCTACAGAATCCTGCTCAATACACCCCGCCAATTTCTCTCTCAGTGTACTCATCGATACAACCTGGTGATGGTTTGGCTTTTCTGATTGTTCGGCTTGTGATACTGAGGACTGATAAGGGACACATGAAACAGAAACCATGTGTCTGTTACAGTGTTACTCATACTTTACAGGTTTTGACCTCGGTATATCATTACTTTACCTTTGATTTCAAGTGCAACACTCGCCTTTGCAAATAACTGAAGCAAATTACTGAAATGTTTAAAAATTAAGAGTTATATTTATACACAAAAGTATACAATAATTCATATAAATAAGAGAGAGACACAGAGAGAAGAGAGAGAAAAGTGACATAAGTTGGATGCGGATAGAAAGGCTCAGAGAGAAAAACATATATTGTATATATATATGTTATTATATAAATTTATTGTATGAATATGATATTTCTTTAAACTATGTAGCATGAAACACTCCTTTGTTTGCCTTTTTCCTCTAATTGGCAAGACTATCACTGTTTCTTTCTAGACGTTCTTATGTTTTTGATAAATGACTTATTTATTTAATAAATTTTTATTACATAAGATAAGACTTTATGTGTTTGATTATGAAACTTGTTGAACTAAATTAGAAAAATTTATTTTGATTTCTTATTAAGTCTCCAATAAAGTAATTCTATAAAAGTTTTTTCAAACATCTGTGAGCAAAATATATAGTGCATGTCACACCTTCATATCATTTATGAGTATAGAACTCTGCAAAAGCTGTCTGCAGATTCAAAATTCCTAACTACAATTATTATGTATGGACAACGAAATTAAAGTGTGAATAATTCAAATAACAGATTTTTCATAGAAACTAGAAAGCAACTGAAGGATAGGAATTCAATTTAAAGTTTAAACCAAATGGGATTTAGGAGCTTGTGTAAATTTTTCTTTGGTTGATCAATGAGAAGAAAATTACGGTGCTCTAATCAGATTTGTTTTCCTAGAAGATACTTCATCACCTTCCAATTTAATAAGCAAATGCTTGATTATCATAGTTATATATTTGACTAGTAACCTAATCTCTTTCTATTCTGATTTTTTAAAATACAAATTAATTTAGAACAATCATAACCAGCAAGCTAAGCTGTCAAGGAAATTTGGACGTGAACCTGGAGATGTCATATTCAACAACGTGGATGGTTGGTTGGTTATTTTCACGGAAGACATTCATATTAATTATTCGACTGCAAAAACTATACAGGCATATGTGTAACAAAATTCAAGTGTGAACATTGAAGTGTTGTATTAGTAAAAAGTGAGCTAAGTGAGGACCATATAAGCGAGAATGACTCGTAATCTTATTGTCTTAAAGGTTTTCAATCACGATTTCGAATCAAGCCCAATATTATAGTTCAATGTTTAATCCATTGACAGAGATCTCCTTTCTTTTAAACTTCTCTTTGGACCATCTAACATATGATATGATATCAGAGTTGATGGTTCGGCTTGGCCATGTACTTGGACACAATGGATAGTGCACCTAGAAATTATTGTCTCTACAATGCAGGGTTTCCCATGTGGTCCTGCCTAAACCATGACCACTAATAGCATATGTATAATAAGACATGAATTATATTCAATGCGCACCACTATTTAGGTTAACCTGCATCAACCTTGTTTTGCTACCTTAGCATGTTTTTCAGGCTCATATAGTGATCTTACAAGGATAAATTTAGTTACTTGTACACGGTAGCATCCAGCATTTCAGTGATCTGTTCTTAACGTTCTGTCTCTCTCAATGCCAAACTCCATAATGATTTGTATTGTAGGACATAACATGGTCTCACAGGCACAAACTCAAGTGCTGATGAAAATTTAATTTTCCTAGTTTAAATTCTATGGTTAAAATAAAATACCCCACTTATGTCTATTTTCACTACTAATACATTAAATTCATGATAAAACAACACTACTAGAAAACTAAAAAATATAGATGAATTTACAGACTAATTTTTTCACTATTACAGATGAATTTTAACATTACAGACGACTACAATCCGTCTGTAATATGTGTGTCGGTAAATAATTACAGACAAAAAAATTCGTCTATATTACAGATAGAAAAATTCATCTGTATTACAGACTAAAAAATTCATCTGTAATTCATTTATGATATTTTAAAAAAATTGTTTCATTTTTTATAAACATAATTATTTCTTACTGTTCTTAATTATCACAACTTATAAACATAATAAAAACTACAAAATTATATATTTAAAATTAAAAGTTATTTATAAAATGTAAAATTAAAATTTTATTACAAAGGAAGAAGTAAACATCTAGAAAAATAATATAAAAAATAAAAATAACATTGTATATCACTAATAATCGGCGTGATCATCTTCCGAAAAAGTATTGCCATCAATAGAAGAGGAGTCAGAGGAGGAATGACGCATGGAGCTGAAGATTGATGGTGTTGGAGCTGGTGCAGGAGGAGGAGAAAGAGGTGTAAAGGTGCTTACTCTCATGAGCTCAAAGTATGCATACATCTGCATATGTTGTTGCTGCACCTCCTTCTGCATCCTCGATGCCACCTTCTTCTCTATCTTCTTCTCCATTTTCTTCGCCCACTTCTTCTTCTATGCACTTTCCTTGCTCTTCCACATCTCTTCATTTTGCTTATGCAGTTCTTCATTGAGGGTATGAACCTGAGTGCGGACCATGTCCTCCACTTCCTCAGGTACAAGAGAAGGGGCATCTCCGGTGACAGATACAGGGGACATAGAGTCTGCAAAGCGACTCCCCATGCCGTAAATGCGGCCTTTATAAAGGCCATCCACCGTCTCTGACCATATAGTATCATGGTCAACTGACTCTGGATCTTGAGAATATGCCTCCTCAAGCTTTTGAACATAGTCATTCTAATATAAATTTTGGTAGAATCTCCCCTAATATATGAATATTTTCCTATATTTGTTTATACTTAATACAACAAATTTCTAATGTAAATTTCGACAGAATCTTCCTTAATATATTAATATTTCCTTACATTTGTTTACACGTACTTAATACAAAAATCTAAATTTTCTTTACACATAATCTATATATTATGTAATAATCTATTAATCAATGCATAAAAAACATACACATCACAATCCTAAATCGTTCTAGAGCACATCCCCTTATAACTCCACAACATGCATATTCTACAAACTCTGCAAACACAAACAATCCAATAGCACACAATAATCAAGTTCGGAGAAGGACCTCTACGCCCTTCCCCCAGTCATACAATCTCCAATCCTACAACTCTATCTTAAAAATTTTAAGTCTCTAAAATACATCAAAAATAAAAAAAAACTAAACCAATTAAAAGTTAGAGTATCATACCAGGAATACAATGATGCAAATTATCTTTCAAATGGATACTCCAATTACTCACAAAGCCCAAAAAACTGAAGCTCCTTGATAGAGAGAGATAGAGAGACGAGAGAGAGATTTATAAAAAATGAGGAAGGGGAAGGGGGAGGCGCGAATTTATCAGTCAGACATTACAGACGAAAAAATCTGTCTGTAAATGGTTTAATAAAATAGTGCATTTTAAAGATCCAGTTACAGACAGATTTTTTCGTTTGTAAATTCGCCAAGTCTATTTACAGACGAAAAAATTCGTCTGTTTTTCGTCTGTAAATTGCCACATGAAAAGTCAGTTAAAAAGAGTAATATTTACAGACAAAAAAAATTCATCTGTAACTTCCGCTCCAAATTTCCCTCATTTTCAAATTACAGACAGAAAAATCCGTTTGTAATTCCTGTTTATATTGTTTTGCGCCAAATTGCAGGCAAACTACAGACGGATTATCTTTATAGACATATTTTTCAAAAAAATAAAAAAAATAAAATCACAAATCCGTCTGTAAATCTGTTTGTAATACAGACAGATAAAAATCCATCTGTAATATCCATATGTAATCAGCACTTTTCTAGTAGTGCAACGTATTGCTTTAATTTATGTCGTTATAAAATTTGGGTGGAAGAAAGTGAGGAATTTTATGGATTTGCTATACTGTTTACAGAAAGTTCACAAAGTCCAATAATAAGTATAGATGTGATGGAAAAAAGAAAGGGAAAATTGGATAGTTGTGATGCAAAGTTG